CATTAGTAGTTTTAATGATGTTTCCTCTTGTTTTCTCAAAAATCTGCCCATTCCTGACCCTACCTCAAAATTTCAGGAATTAGAAATATTATTAACGCTCATCCAAAATAACATTATGACAGTCTGTATAGCAGATTTTTCACCAACTAGGAAAGTATGAAATTTTGCCAATTTCAAATATAGTTCAATCAGTAAACACCTAGCCTTGTCAATGCATTTCTGGCATCGTAGACGGGTGTGGCATAGAGGTTGTTGGCTTATTAGCAGTTAAAGAAGCAGTTTGTCTTATACGCGTTGACTGCTCAGGCATACTGCAAGCCCTGAAGTCTAGAGGAGGAATTAAAAAGACAACCACCTCCCCCAACCCCCCCTCCCCCTCCTCTCTGAGATGCCGAGGTGCCGCGCCTTGTCTCTGGCCGCGATAGTTTCAGAACGAGTCATTTTTCATCATGGCGGCTTCGAAGGGGATGAAGCAGTTACTCCAAAAGCAGTTTTTTCCGAGAATGGTAACTTGGAATTTACGGACTGTACACGGCCACCATGGAAAAGTAACCCAGCGAGTATCGAGAGAAGGTATTTTACCTTAATAACACTTTAAGTAAGGTTATTTCGATCATCCTCATGCTCAATGCACAAGCCAGCATAAGCTAGGCTTGAGTCTCTCGTTCAAACATAACCTTAACTGGCGAGGGAGAAGTTTGAAATCAGGTCATGGACTGTGTATGGGAATGTCTTGAAAGTTTAGTGAAGAAAAACAAAGTCTGGTATCTGTTTTATTGGGTATACTAGTTTGAACAGCGGGTTAATGCGTGGGTCAATTCCACCTGTTATCTTGGCATACACTCGGGAATTTGACATTTTTTACCTTATTCGGCGGTCTATTCCCCACCCCCAGACTCGACAAAGGAGACAATTTCCCACCCCTGGGACTCTTATGTACCTCAACTATGTCTGAATATGTACAAAAAAATGGTGGCAATATTGGTTGCTGTACAATAGCAAAAACAGACGTTTTGTCAAGAATGCAACGTTTTTCAAGAGTTTAGTGAACGAAGGATACTACTTAGAGTAATATACATTACCATACATTGTTTTGTTCCAGCCAAGGCGAAACAAACTGTAGCGGCTTTCCTACAAAAAAATCTATTAATGTCCAACAAATGCTGCGTTGCCATTGCGTTTGATAAACACTGTGCATGAAGCAATTTTTTACTTTCCCTGCCCAGACTGTGGAAGAAGACTGCCATATCCCACCCCCAGGCATGAAGGGCTGGACTTGTTGTGGGGATTGCCCAGGAGAGGATGGTAACGGTTGGAATTGAACCACGCATTAATGTATAGCAATGATTCTTGTTGATAAACAATGTTGTTGTTTTCGATCACGTGCACCAAAAATCACTCTTGTGGTTTGCAAAAAAGAGCTTGCATGTGAGTGAGTTCTCTTGCTTACAGTCGACTTTCCAACATAAGTTTTGATGTGTTAGTACTCGAATTTGCTAAAAACGTTGTCAGTGAAGCATCCTTATATTATTCTATTATAGTAAAACATCAAAATCTACCTCCAGGGTGCTTCTCACAACAGTTCTGAAACAACAGATTTATGATCACTACAAAGTTTCTGTAACTTAAGCTTAAGTTGGCTTACTACAGTTTTTCTGAGACTCCGTAGCACACCCTGCAATTGCCTGGGCTTCCTTGCCTTATATATTGATATTTTGTAAGTATATTTATAATGGCAAAAATTTAAAACAAACAAACAAATAAGTCAGCCTTGAAACATGTTAAACCACTTAGTTATAGGAAGCGATAGATTCAAACTGCTTTCAAATATGTCTTTATAAGCCAAGGACCGATAAAATTTAACAGAGAAGAAAGATAAACAACTGATAAATGAGCTCTAAT